TTTACATGAGTAATCTAAGAATCATTGTGATTAGATAATAATAGTTTGGGGAATTGTTCTCATGTCTTTCTTTAGGAATATTACCCTGTTTTTCTGTACGTTGGATTTCTGTGATTTGAGATGCCCTTTATTAGCTTATAACTAAACATTGAAACTATATAAAACCACGAGTGTTTTCCACCAGAGGCATTTTATTTCTTTCACGAAAATTGTGTAATGGTTATTATAATTAAAACCTTGGTTAAAAACAATGCCATTGGTTTGCAGTGTTAAAAAAGTAAAAGCAAAATAACTGAAAGCATAACTTTATGCTACGCTTTTTATATTATAATTTTTATCATGTTATAATTTCTGATGTATTCTGCAAAAAGAAGGAGTAATGGCAAACTGAGTCTTAAGATAATTAAAGAAGATGCTTATTACAGTCAGTGGGATTTGTGTAACGTTTGGACACTTAGAGATCTTCCTTGGTTTATTTGCTTTTCTTAATCTCTTTACTACTGTTCACATAAAAGATAGTATAGTTTTATTTTTTATTTTTGCTTAAAAGGAATTTTGACTTCTCTAAAAAATGAATTGAGTCATTCTGAAATTTGTATTTAACTTGAACTCTTTAATTTTCTATTTGATATCCTGGACAAAATGGCTCCCTGAATGCTTTCCTTCTTAATCAACTGTAAGGGGGTGGAAGACTCACACTTCAAACTACGCTACAGCAAAATAGGCATGTAAAGTTATTAAATGTTGTCCACTAAGCTAATTTCATTTGTTACTTAATTTTATTGTGGTTAGTAATGACTTTGATTAACTCCATTTGGATGATGCAGAAAGAAACATTACTGCTATCAGAGCTGAAATATGCTTCTTAACCAATAACCCTTTATGATCTCTATTTCACCATGCAGCCTTTCAGAGAAAAGAAGTGGATATACCTGTTACTTCTACTTACTTTTCAAGGTTTCACATATAAAGAATTCCTTTCCCACCTCAAAGTGAGAGTATAGGATCTTTTTTCGCTTAAGATGTATTTCCTTCTATTTTTAAAAATTATAATGGAAATCTAATCAAATGGAAAAATAATCCAGTTTCTGATAGATCTACTCCCTACAGAAATTGACTAATGTTCTATTTTAACTGTTTCTTACAAAGCACAGTTGCCTATACTCTTCTGTCACATCCTTAATTGTCTCTTTTTTAAAAAAATAATTTCGTTGGGGGCTCGTACAACTCTTATCATCATCCATCCATCCATTGTGTCAAGCACATTTGTACATTTGTTGCCATCATTCTCAAAATATTTGCTTTTTACGTGAGCCCTTGGTATCAGCAACTCTTTTTTCCCCTCCCTCCCCGCTCTTCCCTCCTTCATGAACCGTTGATAATTTATAAATTATTATTATTTTGTCATGTCTTACACTGATGTCTCCCTTCATCCACTTTTCTGTTGTCCGTCCCCCAGGGAGGTTATAACGTAGGTCCTTATAATCCATTCCCCCTTTCTATCCCACCTTCGTTCCACCCTCCTGGTTTTGCCACTCTGACCACTGGTCCTGAGGGGTGCAACTTTCCTGGATTCCCTGTGTTTCCAGTTCCTATCTGTACAGTGTACATCCTCAGGTCTACCTGGATTTGTAAGGTAGAATTGGGATCATGATAGTGGAGGGGAGAAACCATTTAGGAACTAGAGGAATGTTGTATGTTTCATCGTTGCTACACTGCACCCTGACTGATTCGTCTTCTCCCCGCATCCCTTCTTGAAGGGGATGTCCAGTTACCTACAGATGGGCTTTGGATCTCCAATCTGCGCTCCCGCTCATTCACAATGATCGTTTTTTGTTTTTGATGCCTAATACCTGATCCCTTCGACACCTC